GAAATGAGAAATGAYTGTGTATCCCTTTTGCAAAATGAACCAATCTGGAATAAGACTACAAACAGTAACATAGATGAGGAAAAATCTCCTCTTTTAAAAAATTGTTTAAGTTATATAATAAAGAGAAACAACCTGCCTGCATTTTATCATTTATTATAAAAACATTYTGGGATTTTTATAACTCCAGTATTTTACTGTGGGTAAAATCCAGCTTTTGCAAAAGATCTGATTCAAAACTGACACTAAGAGGAAAATAAAACTTGCTGTCAGTTTGGAGATCTGATTCAAAACTGCACAGAAACTTGATAGGTGAGAGATCCGTCTGGAGCCCAGCAGAGCACAGTTATCTCATTCTATGATGCTTTTAATATTTCAAAATTAAACTTGTTCAGATGCTGGATAATAATCAAATTCATGTTTTTCCATCAAAGAGAAGGGCCCTTCAGTGGTAGTTGTCAGCCTGTAACTGCAGAACTCAGAAATCTGGGATGCAGTGTGCTGTTAGCTGGCCCTGTGGTACCAGGTGATCCATGTGGCCCAGATGGGACAGAGTCACAACCTTGGAGTCTCTGCAGAGTGTAGCTGAAATTCACACCTCACAAAGAGCAGCCYGGGGATGGCTAAATTTGGCAGTGTCAACATTCTGCTGCCAGGTCCTGCTTTGGGATACAGATCCTGAAATAAAATGCTTGCAAGGAGGTTGAAACCAGCTTCTGGAATCTTGCTTTGACTCCTGAATTTTCAAATCCAAAGTTACAGCCATCTCATTCTGGAGGGTGGAGATGGGGGTTAGGGGTTTCTGTCAAGAAAACTCAGTAACTGTGTATTTAGCCTATAAACGATCATTTCTGGTCCAGGTCTTTGAAGACTTAGAAACTTGGATGTCCTCTCTACTTGGAGGGACTAAAAACATTCTATAAACAAGAGTGCAAATGTGTGGGGGAATACTTGCACCCTAAGTAAGGCACGTTCAGAGCCCTCTGCTTCACACACAGCAGTGACCTACAGGAATCCAGAAACATGTGTGTCCCTTCCCAGCCACATTCCAGGCTCTGGGACCATATGCAGAGTGTTTTGGTGACAGATTTGAGGGCATCAGTCCAGCCTGTTTGGGTATTGCCTACCCATGATAAACAGGTTTGTGTCCCAGTGGGGGCACGGTGCCAAAGGAAGTGGTTGTAAGTTAAAGAAGAATAAGTTTCTGACACACAGCAGGAAATGTGTCACTCGTGTCAGTTCTGCTCTCCTGTGCCACGGGGATGAGGGAACACAGCTCCACAGTGGTGTTGTGCTGCCAGAGCTGGCAGCTGAATCCAGCTGCAATGCCCCAAATGTTCAGTTTTTGGGGAGAAAACCTGTTGGGAAGAGCAGGATAACCTTCATCTTCCAAAGCTGGCATGTTCCAATTTGGATAAGCACAGTTTTTTTACAGAAAAGCAATGAACTTGCTGCTCTTTTAGAAGTAAAAAATATCTCATTCTCTTTCTTCCTACAGTTTGATAGTGTTATTTGTTCTTTTAATTTATTATGATTATGCCCAACTATTCCAGGGTGTAGAAAGCTCCAAAGAGCAGAAAGCAAATATTTTTTCAATKTATTTCAAATGATGCCTAAATACAGCAAAGAGAAATCTACCATTACTTTTCAGTAAAAAATAATGTAGACTTGAGCAGATCTCTTCTCTGCCTATTTCAAATGTGTCTAATCTTTTCAATAATAAGATGCATCAGAACATTTACATTGGCTGACTTCTGGCAGATTATCAATATCGTGCACAAAAATACTGCCTCAATATAGTTTCTGTTGGGGAAGTCAAGATACAGAAATGGATAGCATAGGAGGAACCAGATATTCCTGCATAGTTSCTGCTCCTACTGCTGCTGAGTTTTGGAGTGTGACATCCCCTCTGATGGCACCYCTGCCTGCCATGGAGCATCCACACTGTGGTGTACAAAATGACCCATCTCCACTTGTTGCACTTCACAGGCTGTCTTGTAGGAAAGACCAGAGTTTCTGTATGAGGAATTTCTGGCTTAAATAATCAAAATCACTAATTTGTACCTGATCTGTATAAAGTTTGATTCATTGCGCTTTTTTTCCCCCTTTTCTTTCCAGAGTACCTACCTTTATCTATCACATCCCATCACATCATCTCCTGCTTTCACTTTCTGCAGCTGCACAGGGTTTTTTCTTCTTTCCAGTCAGGAGTGCCATGCCACTGTGGGGAGATAAAAGATAGGCATTGCATATCTCCCCCCATGTATCTGCACATGGAGGAGATCAGTTTTGTTGCACACAGCAACCACAGAATAATCTCTTCACCTTTCAGTTGAACCATTTATGCCTTAAGGTTTTCTGGTGCTTTGGTTCAAGGCTTTATTTAAGAAAACTAAATGTGTGTAGCTTCTGAGACTGAAATAAAGGGAACGGCAAATGAAGGGGCCTCTAGAGCAAGGTCTCTCTACTCTGTTTCCAAATAACCCATTCTTATTGCCTAAGGATTTTTTCAATATCTTTCCAACTAATGAAGCATGCTGTGGTGCAGTACCACGGTACAGTGACTTACAGAACAAAAGCCACTCTAAAGGTTAAGAAGGAGAAAGCACATTTTATTATACATTAGATAAAGAACTGTCTTGCAATAATAATTTGAGAGCATTTTATATTAAAGCAGAAAGATAACTCAATTTCTTTCCTGTAAAACTGGAAATTCTCAGAGAATTTTCAAGGTCCCAGCTGGGGAAAACAACAAAGTCAGTTACAGGAATTGATCAGCTATTCCTTCAGCACAGAAGAGTTTCTCAGATTTGATCTTGCCTTTTGTAAGCTTTTGAGATCCAATCATAAAAATATTTTATTTTGCCATTCATCTCAGAGTTTGCTTAAAGTCAGCATGGGGAGTGGGATGGGGAACAAATTCTGAACACCAAATTTCAAAGAGCTGTAATGACTTTCAGTGGTTTAAAAACAAAGCATTTTAATCCAGAGAATTATCCTTATTCTAGATGTAGTACCATTGACAGCCCATGGCTTCAAATTCTGTGGCTAAACAGCATTTTGACAAAGCCAGCCCTCAACAAAATGTGGCTGTGACAGAAAGTGAGAAACACTCACTGGCAGAAAAGCTGATAGAGATGGAAAACCTGAATTAGCCCTGTGCAGACTGGAGAGTGCTGGAGCAGATCACAGTATAACCATTTGCAGCACCATAAGCACTACTTAGAGAAAATAGCTGGCAAAGCCACAAGACAAGTCACYCCAGGTTAGCCCTGAGAGCTGCACATGATCTGTGTGTTGTGTAGAYACTGAAAAGCCTCTTAGTGCCTGTAATATGCTCAAGCTTAACAGCTCTGTAGGAATGAAAGTGCAAAAAAACCCACCAAACCCAAAAGTTCAGTGTAATACATTTTACCTCTAGCAAAGAGAATTCTGTAAATATAAGGAAGAAAGGTAAGAAGAAGGAAGAAGAGGAAAAAAGAAAGGAAAATGTTTTCAAGAAGCTTGGGTTCGCTCTAAATACTTTGCAGAGTTTCAAAGTCAACCTGCACAACCAGTCAGAAAAACCTCAGTATTTCCCCTCTCTTTTGTATAATATATAAATGAGCATTTCCCCAGGGGTTTTTAGCAAAATATGGTRGTTCTATAATATTTCATTTTATCTGATCACATTCCAACCTATGAATCATTTGCCACTGTTAAAYATTGATTGCTGGTGCATGTTAGTCAGAGCTGATTGTTTTGAGACTGGCATTGATTATCTGTATTGGTCTAGACTGATTCCCTTCTCTAAATGMCTCCTCTGACTCCAGCATCTTCTGGAGAGGCTGAATATTGCTCAGACACTCAGAGGCTTCTCCAGTTTCTAGAACAGCCTGGTCCAAAGCCCCAGATCCCAGACATGTCCTAACTTGGGAGGTTTCCGAGTCAAAACTTGGATCGGAATTTCCCTGCTCGTGCCCCCATCCCCTGCCATTACTGTGCCTACATAAACRCAGGACTGGGGTTTGCCATGAGCAGGAAAGGGAAGATTGAACTGGTGGGGGATGAGTGAGAAATGTGTCACATTCTGCTTAAGATTGCACTGTCATTGACACAGAACATCCTCGTGAAACTGAGTGAGTTCTGGATTTATGAGTGTAAGTCATGCCATCTTGGTGTAAACCTGGGATTAACACCACTGGAGATGGGTAAAAACATCTGAATAAACAGAGGATAGGTGGAGGGTAGGTGGAACCCATGCCCAGAAAATCCATGATAGAGAGATAATTGATTACCTTGTTCTGAAGAGTCCTTGAGCCTSTAAGTGGCACTAGCAGCCTCGAGGAGCCATGCCTTCCCAGGCAGGTTTTTGTACAATGAAGAAAGCGCTGCCTGCCAGYGTGTGCAGCACACTCCAGCTCTTTGCCAAAGTGAGGCAGAAGTCAGACCTTGACAGGGAAATAGTGATATAGCTTAAGCCTACTTGGTAGGGTTTTGCCAATGCAGGAGAGAGTGTTGGTGCTTTTTTATGGATAAACCGTAAGAGTGCATAATCAAAATCAYAGTGAGCTCAGCTAAGGTAAGTAAGCAAATCTGCTGAGTGGRATTCCCAGGCTCCTGGGCTTAGTGCAGGGAGGAATTCCATGCTTTTGCAGGTGTGCCTGGCTCCAGAGCTAACAGCTTGGGGTGCAAGGCAATTTGGAGTTGACAAAGCACATGAGTGGGTCCAAGTGTGCTGGCTTTGTTACTGGCTGCTGCTGCTGAAAGAGCATGTGGATGGCTGTCGTCAGAGTTGTACCAGAAGAAAGCTCAAGGGGATGCCAGCTTGGCTTTGTGGGTTTTGTTGTTTTATTTTTTTATTTTTTTTTCCCTATCACTCAGCTGCACTGAAACCCGACGCCTCTGGTAGCCAGTGGTGGAGCAGTGAGAAGCTGGTTTTGTGCTGCGCTTTGACGGGAGAAGCCTGGCTGCATTAACTCTTATTAAAACAAGCACCTAGACAACTTGAGCAAAATCCAGTGATGGAGGTCAACTCCACAGAAGCCAGCAGCAGCTCCCAGGCAGGCACCGGCTGGCTGGATCTTACCCTTGTCACCTGCACTGAGACGGTGACTTTCACAGAAGTGGGGGCAGAAGAGGAGTGGGGATCCTTTTACTATTCCTTTAAGGTACTCTTTTAAGGCGTGCATTACTTTTCTTGCAGCTTTGGTGCATTTTCAGCATGTATGTGGGGAGGCAGCTAAGATTATTGAACTTTTTTTCCCCAGATATTGGTGGGTTTATTCCTCTGCAAAGACAGCTGACTATGTGTGAGGCATGTACTGAAAAGCAAAMTACTTGTAGGAATTGGACTTCAGACTTACATGTCTTAGCTAACTCTATCCCCTTCCAAAAGAGGACAGTACTGTTTTTCTGTAAAAGTATTGGAATTATACGTGCATCTTTAGTCAAAACTTGTATTATTTTTAACACATTTGTCTAATGTAATTTCTTATAGGCATCATCTTGACATAAGGAATTTCTTTTCAATTTGCCAGCTGTAGCAAACCTTGTACACAAGTGTGAGGGGGTTTTTGTTGTTTGGGGTGTTTTTAATGATGAGGGACAGGTTGTAATTAGTTTGTTTGTTTATTTGTAAGTTGAGCGTGGGTTGCAGCGCTTCTTGAAGGCTGCTGTTAAGAATGCACTTGATGAGTCACTCAGTGAATGCTGTTGAATGGAATGGGAAGTGTATTCATCCTTCTTCAAAACCAGACATCACTCTTGCAATATGATGAACGTAGGGAAAAGATTAGAGGCACTTAAATTCATCTTTCCTTCAGATTTCTGTGCCTGTTGCCATTGTTTAATCTTGTGCTGAATGCCATGTATCTTTTTACACTTATGGGATGTAGTAGAAGTTCAAATTAGTAAAAAGTCTGACAAGAGTACTCTGCCAGTCCCTCTGGAGCTCAGGACCAAAGAAATCAATTTGAGCTGGAAAGATACAGGCACTTACATAATTTCGCAACATGTGAGGTTAAAGGGGATATATATTCAGAAGCAATTTTTATATCTGTGAGATTGTTCTGGCAAAATCCTAGTGAAACAAGTGGAATTACAACAGGTTTCCACCCCTGATAAAGAAAGAGATGATCTGAAGTGCTAGTCYTAATTAATGAGGGTCTCTTTTAACATGCTGCCAATATATTTTTTTTATTGCTAAGATAGTACTTCCTACCTAGGATTTCAATGGTGAAAATGCTTTTTTATTCGTTTTTTTTTTTTTCCTCTCCATGTTAGACTCCTAAAAGGCTCTTGAAAAAAAAAAATCAGAAGTGACAAGCAAAACACTTTTAACAACTTTATCTCCTCTCTGCTTTTCACAGTTAAGGCTGTAAATCTKAACAATGTCATGGGAGCAGTTTTTTATAATGGTAAAAGTGACAATTAATTCCACGATTAGAAAGTCCCCAGGCAGAAAAATGCTCGTTAATAGGAGAGATTGAGTAAATTACAATAATTAGGAAACCAAGGATAGTCATGCATGCTCATCCATTGCTAAAGGAAACGATYCAGTAGTGAGAGCTTGTCACTCCACTTGCACTTGAGTGTCTGCCGGATGCGTGGCTCTGGCACATGTAGCATGAACTTTGCAAGGAGAGTCGCTGATTCCACATCAATTACTAGATGCTGATAGGCATGGAAATATTTTGACTCTAGAGAGGAGTGACAGCTGGTGCAGCTGCAGGAAAGGAAGGAGAAAGCACCTGCTCTGATGACTACAGTGCAGGGAAGACAGGGCTCCCTGCCAGCAATTTCAGCACTTGGTGAAACTCCAGTGTGGAAGGTAGTGCTGGTACCTGTTGGCTCAGCTGGCTGTTCTCCAGCTCTGCCCCTGTTGTGGCTGTGTCCCTGCCCATTTCTGCAAGCCAAGGAACATCTCTTTCCTCTTAACACCGTGTAGTTAAGCAACCAAAAGAATGTAAGTTTCAGTTTGCAATAGGCTGAATGAATTTGAAGAACAGAGTTCAGTGTCCAAAAAGTAGTTTACAAATAGGGTTTGGGCCTTTTATTGAGATTTTCAGACACCCTGTAGCCTGTGGCTGTGAAGGYAGGGTGGGTGAGTGGTCACTACACATGTTGACCCCACAGCCTGCGTGTCAGGGGGCAGACAGTACATGAGCGATTTCTGCTTGAAAAATGCAGGTGTAACCTGGGTTATCAAACAGYCATAGCAAAACATGATCTAAACTGATAAACTGATATATGGAGACTAGGGGGTGACACCCCGTACCTGTGTTTATGACTTTTTAATGATTTTACCCAATGACAGCTGTGCAGGGTGTCTCACGTGCTGCTGAAACTACCTGAGCATGCACTGGTGTCTTCTTTTCCTCCCAGGCTGCAAAAGGACAGCCTGTACCCACCCCAGGTAGTGTCTGTGTAGTGCTGTGGTGGAAATGTGACAAAAGTAAAACAATGTGCCTTATAGCACTTCAGTGACAGAAAGTCCTGTTACAGGCTGAGCTGTGAGTGCTTCTCTTTCAGAAKAATTTGAGTTTCTGTCTGTGCCTCTGCTTGGCAACTAAACCCTGCACTGCTTCAGATTACAGAATGTTTTGCCAGTTCAGGCTTTTGTTGTTTTGTGTGGGGGTCTTTTCCATTTTATTTTTTCTTTCTCAAAATTGGAGCATTTCCTCCACTTAGAGTGCACATTTTCTTCTGGTAGTCATTAATGCAGAAGGGCCAGCTGCTCACCAAAGCTTTGCTAATGAAGTCTGATTTKGGGCCATGTGAGCTAAGTAGACTGACTCTTGGCATGCAGAGTTGCAGCTTTTTGGGCAGGTCTGGATGTGCCCATGCATCATTCAGTGTGCAGGATGAGCTGGAGCTTCCTATGGCAAAGACACTGCCCCATTCCCACTGACATTTATGTCTTGCTGCCTTGTTATGTGAAATGATGCCTGAAAACCCAGACCATCCCTCTTCCTGGGTGCCTTTCCATGAGGCATCCASGTAGGACACTGTCTTAAACCACCGGGAATGCTGCTGGCTGTTTCAGMACCTAATTCAGAACAGATGTGTAAATTGGTATTAATTTTAGCTCCAACCTCGCAGGCCAAAGGAGAGTTCATTACAWCCCTTTACAATCTCCTCCACATRYGTTTAATCTCCATGTGAAAGGGCTSTGAGGGAGYGACAGCTGCCCCTGCCAAACACAGTAGYCCAGAGAGAACAGAGATCATCCGAATACCTGTGGCCTTCCTCTGCTCCAGCACCTTCTGAACTCTGCAAACCTGACAAGGTACAAATCAGAAACCCTCCTGGAAGAAAGCTGAAATCTCAGAATAGGTTTGGCTCTGCTGTCCACAAGGTTTGGGAGGCTTTGTCAGGGCTGGAGGAAACTTCTCCTCTTKCCAGGCACTCAAGAGCCAAGAAGCTTCCACAATGGTAGCAGTCTGTGCTTGTCCTCAGAAGGAYTGAGTAGGGATCATCTCTGTTTTCAGAGGTCTGCTGAGAAAGGATGTGCACTGCTTTTATGCAGTAAAGGTTGGAGTGCTCAAARGCAGAAAGCTCCCAGTTGCTGTTCCTTTCTTGGTGGGAGTGTGTTACCACCATAATTTCCTACCTCCTAGCAAAGCTGGGAATCCATTGAGGACTATTTCTGCTTCCTGCTCTGTAGAGCTGAGTCCTCACTTGTGCAKCAGGGCCAAAGGTTTTGTTGTTTACATCCAAGGTTGTTGGGAGCCCCAATGTCTCCCCTGCTGAGTGGGAGCCCCAACCACTGGTCCAAATGTTGACACTCCCCTGCTTCTGGCCCCTGAGCCCTGGTCCCTGTGCCATACAGCATTAGTACAGCAGTGACACTGAAGAATTACAGCTATCAGGAGGAACTGTGTGCCCATCAAAACCACCACAAATTATTTTAAATATRATTTTGACTGTCCTCCCCCCACACTGTAGCATTCCCTGTACTTGCAGGTTTATCCCACATAGCTCAGACATTAAACAGGGCAGCACAGCCTAACTCAAGTAAGCACAGCTCTAAGAACATGGGCTGCTTATCCATGAAGTTCAATGCTCTTTACAAAGGTCAGGGTTTGCCATCTCCAGCAAAGAGCTGAGGAGACCAGCRTGTTGAGAGGTTTTGTAGGACTATCCAGTTACATGGATTTGGCTTCAGATGTTCCCAGAGACTGTAGAAGTCAGTCTGACGTCCCTATCCTTTCATCCACATGTAGGAGTTGTTTTATCTCCTGAAATGCATTTGCTTATGCTATTGCTTATTCTGATTCTCAAGCAAATATCACAGAGCATCCCATCATTGAATGCATAATAGGAAAATAATAATGGGTGCTGTCAAATTTCTGAAGTAATCTYTACAAATGCAATCACACATTTTAGAAAATAGGCATATCAAATAATTCAGAGATAACTTTGCAATCTTTCAGYGGGGGGAGAGGAGGAGGATTAAGTTTAAACAAATAAGGTGTCAGGCACTCCTGAACACAGCCTCTGCAATATGCTGTAATGACTGTTGCTATTCCTGAGATGCTGCACTGAGAATGATCTCCTTTGGAAACTGCTGGCTGAAGTTGCATGAGGCTGGCCTCATCTTGCAGTTTAAATGCAACGCAGAAGTGATCTGGCAGAACGACAGCTCAACTGGGAGCAGCTCTGAGCCAACTGATTTGGGCTGTTCTACAATAGCAACCCTCGTACTGCTGTCCCTGTGGTCCACACAGACACATGGTTTGCACCTGCCTGCCTCTCCTAAATAAACATGCCTAGAAAGTATTAGTTTATAAGATTTTTTGAGCTATTTTAATTTTACAGGCTAGGCATACTTAATAATTTTGAGTGATTAAGAAAAACATCACTTTATGGTTTTAAATAGGGCTGTCCAAATCGTAMAATTATGGATGGACCTTTGAGTGACCTAATATTATCTTTCCACATGAAAAATATTCTATGAAAAAAAAAAATAGATAGGTACACCATTAAAAATTTATGTTTCCTGATGACATTTAAATCAGGAATATMTGTCTAATTCTGTGGAAGTTTCCTGGAGTGCAGTGGGTAAAAAATTCTGCAATAACTGAACAGTACCRTCCCCATTTATTAGCCATCTTGTAYCAAATCACAACAGAAYCGCAAATATGAACTCTTTGCTAGTAGAATAGAA